GGTGAGGCCGGTGAGAAGCTGGTGACAGGCAGTGGCACCAGGCAGGGGCCGGACGGAAGGCTTTACGCTTGGCTGAGTAACATGGGGGCTACCGCTGGGCTCTGCTAACCCCGTCCCTAGTGACCAGGGACTCACAGTCCATTGCACAAGGAGCGGGAAATGGAAAAACCCGAGAGTGTTCATAAATATTCTTTTCATAACTCTCCTGATTTATGTCTCCTAATGGCCTGAAAGGCATCAACTCCTTTCTGCTAGGCCACATTCCTCCTGAGAGGAGCAAAGGTATCTGGGCTGTCGCTTCCTGCCGGGTCCCGGTGGTCACTTCCAGGGGCAGAGCTTGGGGTACCGAGGTCTGCTTACACCTACACCGAGCTTTGGCAGGCAAAACGTTGACAGTGGTGGTGGTGACTTCGAGAAGTGGTCCTGAGCCGCCCTCCTCCCAGAGCAGCGCAAAGAGCAGAGCTTCGCCAGGAGAACAGAGGGTGCCAAGAGGCGGCTGGGTGTGTGGTAAGGACCAACTGGCAGGACAGGATGGCCTCAGGGGGTCAGGGCGGGAGGTGGTGGGGCCGGAGGGGTACAGGGAAGGCAGCGTCCTGGAGAGATGGCTGGGGACAGGGCCCAGGGCTCAATCTTGGGCTGGGGTGCTGGTGAGAGGAAGGTCAGAGAGTTCCCAGCTTAGGCGCAGGAGCTCCCAGGTGCCTGCTGCACCCTGCAAGTCAGGAGCTGGGTGGAGCACGGGGCTTGGAGCAGAGCCAGGGCTGGAGGTAAGCAATGCAGCAGCAGCCACAGGGGTGACACAGCCTTCACCCAGCCCGGCCAGCTCTCTGGATAGGAGTTGGCTGGGAGTGAGGGGAGTAGGCAGGAGCCACCAGGCAAGGACAGAGAGGCAAGAGAGGGGCGGCCCAGACGGCACCCAAGAAGCTGAGCGAAGAAGGCCTCCAGCCTCCTGCTGCTGCTGCCTGGGAGCATAGGTCAGAGGCCGACACAGCCTGGGTCCCACCACCTGGAGGGCAGCCTGGGAGGAGCTGTGGATATGGCCAGACCCAGCCCTGATTCAGCAGGAGGAGGTGGGAGTGTGGTGCAGTCAGCGGGAGCCTGGGAGCAGACAGGATCCAGGAGGTGGCACAGGGCCAGAGCGACAGCAGCCCGCTCCTGCTCCACCTCTGAGGCCCCTGGAAGCCTTGGGCAATCACGGCCTCCTCAAGACCTCAGTTTCCCCACTGATAAAGCTACAGGGCTGCACTCAGTCCAAGAACTCAGCAAAGACGATACACCCGAGATGATCCCAAGCTATGGTGAACGTTTAAATTTTTTTTTTATGTAAACGTTAAAAATACTCTTTATAGTAAAAGATGCATTGCCAAAAACAATGGGTGTTTGAAATAAGGGCAGTTTTCAGTGGAACAGATAGCAATTCAGTCTAATACATTTTTTATTTAAATATTCACTCTAAGAGACCGAGGATTTAGCTCAGCGTCATAAACGCCTGCCTGGCAAGGGTGAGGTCATGAATTCAATCCCCGGTACCAAAAAAAAAGACACTAAATATTCAATGAATGTTTTAATCACAGCTTACTTATCACAAAGGCTGTCAAATAAAAAGATTATGGCGGACCCTCTGCCACTTCATTCAAAGATCAGCACTGATAGAATTGGATTCCCGGTCAGGGAACCATACGATAGAATTCTGGCATCACTGAAAAGATAAGAAGTATGAAATATAAATGGCCTTTATTTTAAGAATGCGGGGAGAGAACCCCTGACCCTCCAGGTCTCCAGGGGCTGGCATTCTCTCCGTCGGACACGTGGTATGGGGGGATACTTGTAGCTTAGGTTTGGGGTGGTGCCTGAGGGGCGTTAGTGATGCACAGGTAGCCCACTGGTACTCTTTTGGCGCTACAGGTAAATTCCTAGGGGCGGGGAGACGACCTCAAGATGGAGCCCCTGGTTCCGCCCGCCTCCCAGCTTCACCAGCTACAGTGTCCCAACTGGGCCAAAATCCTTTCAGGCACCATGCGACTTCTGGCTTTTCCCCCAAATCAAAATGAGCAGGAAACAGAGCTAAGTGCTTTGAGTTGATTCAGGACACTGAGGCAGCCAGGGCAGTGAGTGCAACAGGACCCCAGAGCCGCTTCAGAAGGAGGCAAGAACGACGGGACAGCACCGTGGGCACTTGAAGGGGGCGGGAGGTTGTGAGGGGCTTGGTGGCACTGTCTTCCACTGAGATAAAATTCCAAATGCTCTCCCCATGTCTCAGCACACTTTATCTTCCAGCAGCAGTGCTTGGAGGCTGCAGGAGCAGGGGCTGGGCCCTCTCCTCGGCGGCCCAGGCTGAAGTCCCCCAGGACCCCTACCCAAGTCTGGTGGTCTCCAGGGTCTGGAATGGGAAGGCCCTGCAGGGAGGGCGCCTAGAGCCAACGAGCCTGCCGGGGCCCACCTGTCCACCCTGCAACCTGGTCACCTCCTGCGACACACACATTCTCCATGCCCCACAGCAGAGTCCCATCCAGCTCGAGGGGCCTTGAGTGGTCCTGCCAGGGAGGCAGGCGGCATCAGCTTGTGAGCTCGAGGCCCGTGCATCGCTCTGATCCTTTCCAGCCTCCTGCCTCACAGTCCAGTTTCTCCAGCTGGACGCCCAGGCAGCAGGAGCTCAGGCCTGGTCAGCCCCCCCGGCACTGCTTTCCTGGGCTGTCTGCCCTCGGTGGGCAGGCCCAGCAGCTGTCACAGTGGCAGGGGCTGCTCCCTTCTTTTGTCTGATCCTTTTGGTTTGGTCCAAGGCAGCACTGAGTCATAAACTAGAGAATGAAAACTGTTTGGAATTTTTTTGTGCCTGACAGCCACGCGGAGTTCTGGCACCCACTGAGAAAGGAATGCATTCCCAGGTGGGCGGGGTGCCCCAGCCTGAGGTCACTGATGCAGCCTGGACAGCGGGTCCTCAGCTTGTGGCTCCACAGGCGGAGGTCGGGCCTGAGTCATGGGAATGGCCCCAGCACTGAGGGCGGTCCCTGCACATGGACGGTGGCTCCTAGGAAAGCCATGGAGGAAGTGAGCTCCTCAGCGGAGATCTGCGTTAACTCGCCTTCACCCTCATCTCCAGGTGTGCTTACCTGCCTGCCCCGCTGTCAGCCACGGCCCACGCGGCTGTGAGCAGCGACACCCAGCTGCTGGGCCACAGGTGCCAGTCTGCCTGGCTCTTGGGTCCTCCCTTGATGCTGTGGGGTGGGCCCTGCATCTCTGTCTGGACCAGAAGTTCCAAGCTGCCCTTCCGTGAGCCAAGTCTGGCCTTGTCTGCTCCTTTGAGGGAACCTGGCAGGAATGTGGCTGGATGGTCATTTCCCCATTTATTTATTTATTTACTTATTTATTTTTTGGTACCAGGGATCAAACTCACGACTTCGTGCTTACAAGGCAGACGTTTATGCCACTGAGCCAAATCCCTAGCCTGGTCATTTCCCATTTTTAGAGAGAGACATATTTGAACAACAATAAAGAGCTTCCCTTAAAAATATCCAAATATAGAGTTGTCCAGAAGCCAGTGAGAAGTGGGAGGGAGGCCAGTGCTTCTGGGCCTCACTGTGTGCACCACACTGCCGGCTCTGACGGCTGTGAGGGGCTGACCGGGCTGTGCTCTGCCCTGGAGGCCCGGCTGGTGCTGGGCTGAGGCTGCTGGGCAGGGCAGGTCTCATGCCAGGCACCAGACACCTGAGCCGAGGTCCTCTCCCCCCTCGGGCACTTCGGTTTCCCCCAGATGTCCCCACCGAGTGGCCCCACCTTCAGTCTGGGGCCCTGAGTCGCAGCTTCCTGGAGCCTTCCTAGGAAGCTTCCCTACTCCGGGTGCTGCGCAGGTGTAGCCAGATGCATCAGCTCCGCAGGTGGGAGCAGAAGCAGCCCTCCCACCCTAGCCCTGCCAGCCTCCTCTTGGGGCCCCTAAACCTCGGCCTCCCTTGAGCTCCACCATCAGTGCATCAGCACTGACTCTCGCTGGCTACTGCCTTGGGTGGTCGGGACTTCTGAATGGGCAGAACTGTTTCCAGCTGAGCTGGGCCAGTGGCTGAATGTCCTTCCTGCCCGTCGAGAAGACGCCTCAGCTGGGAAAGTACAGGCCAGGAAGTGAGGGAAGTCTCTGCCCCGGGGCACTTTGAGACTGGCTTCCTGGGTGGGCTCAGCATAAGGGATCAGTTCCTTGTCACAGCTACTTCCTGGTCCTCTGGCTGCCAGGAAAGCCACGTAGGGGTTGTGATCCGAGGGACACAGCCTTTGTGACGCAAGCGGGCTTTAAGCTGTGCGTCCACAAGGCACACAGATTCCTTCCCGAAATGACCACCATCCCTCCGATGGTATGCATACAGATGTGTCTCTGCACAGCCTTGGGTAAACTCCTTTTCAAAGAGAAGCCCGGTAAATACAAGGAAGGGTTAAGCACTGATTAGATCATTAACAAAGAATGTGCAGTGGCCAGCCTGCCCAAGCAAGGCCAGAGTCCTGGGGCAGCAGGCTCAGGGCCCCTGAGCACCAGCATGGCGGTGCCTCCATGCCACAGACCGTACTGATCCGAACTTCTGTCCTCTTCGCCCAGCCCCTTCTGGTTGGAGGAGGGCACTTGATGGCCTCTAAGTCCCCTCTAGCACCTTTATTAGGTGAACATTTCCTTTGGCTCCACAGACCGGCCTGATGCCGAGGGCCAGGGTCCTGGGCCTTGCGGAGTGACCCTGAGCCCTGAGCCTCACTGTGCCACACTGGTCTTGACTCCAGCGAGGCCCCATGCAGGACTTGTCTACCTTCACATGCAAGGAGCCGGCTGAGGGTAGGGCATTGGCACCCCTCCTGTCCAGCCTGTGGTCCCACAGCACCGTCATCTCCTCATGGGTGACTGCCACGTGTCACAGCAGTCACAGCTTCAGGGCTTCGCCCTCATGTTTCTGGGGCTCCACCCCGATCCCGGTCGGTGCCAGCCACAAGGGAGCCAGGCAAGGTCCTTCATGACACTGTGGGCACAACAGTCAAGACTGAGTCAGCCACCAAAGGCTCTGACATGAAATGGCTAAGCGCTGAATGTGTATGTTGGGAGTGACCAGGAACCACAGGGTGGCTGTCACAAGGTCCACACCAATAGGGCTTGAGGTGTCCCTGAGCACATGGTCTGAGTGGGTATAGGGGGGGAGTGAGCAGATCTTGCCCGGCGAGGAGTGCAAGGTCTGGCAGCAGCCTGTGCCAGGCCCTGGGCAGGAAGGAGCTGGACCTGCATCGGGAAAGAGATGGCAGGGGCTCCACAGCAGGCCATGTCCTAGGACGGGGCAGCGTGGGGGGAGGGGCTGACCTGTGCTCCTCAGAGTCCCCTCTGGGCTTCCCCAGCCCGGACAGGGGGTTTTGACTTCCCCCTTCTGGTTTTCCACACAAAGACATGGCTGGGGAGGGCAGCTCAAAGCCACACAGCAGCCTGGCATGGAGGGTGTCCTCTCAGCAGGGCTCCATGGTGGAAGCAAAGGGGGGATCATGTGGGTTAGCGTGCAGCTCAGTGGCCGTATGCTTGCCTGGCCAGGGAGGCCTGGGCTCATCCCAAGCCGGGGAGGGCGAGGAAGACAAGGAGCGGGGAGCAGGGAGGAGAAGAAAAGGAAGGGAAAAGCAGCTTGCAAAGCCGGGACCTGCTGGCCCTTGGTCCCGAGCACTAAGGCACGCTTGGGATGCCCAGGCCCACACCAGCCCTCAGAGGTCGCTCCGGCAGCAGGTCGGTGCTGATGGCGAGGCTGTCCCATGGAGGCCTTGCTGAGCCCTCGGCTGTCCACATCTGGGACTGCTGCAGCCAGGGGCCAGGGCCAGGGCCTTTGGGACCCAGCCCACAGCTCTGAGACTGCACTGTTGCTGCAGTGACCAGGTGTGGCCGTGGCCGCTGAGCTCTGGAGACACACACCCGTGAGCGCTGGGTCCCACCCCAGAGGCCGGGGCAGGGTCAGCTCCCAGGACAGCTTCCAGGGCCTTTCCTTCTGCCCCGGAAAAGGGCTCCAGACAAACTTCTGTGCTGCACTATGGGGACTAAGGGAACCCCCTGCCCCTCTTATCAGCTGGGACTGAAGGAAGAGCCTGACTTCCATCCGGGCCACCTGATTTGGGTTTTCTGAGCCCAGCAGAAGCTGGATGCCATGGGAGGGCCTGGAGCACAGTGTGAGGACTCGGCCGCGGAGGCCTGGGCAAGAGGGCCCGTCACACATGCCCAGGGACCCCTTGGCTCCTCCAGATGGGAGGGCCTTTACTTGGGGTTCTTGAAGCCCCGGGGGAGGGGCTGGCAGCCTTTCCTGGGCTCATGGCTCCCCCTTCGAAGGTCACAGGCTTTGTCTGGGAGACTCAGAGCTCCTGCCCCACCATCAGGAAAAGGCAGGTCAGCCGGGGTCGCTGCCCGAGTCACAGCAGGGGTGGCAATGTATGAGACACACACTTTGCTTGGGCAGGGGTTCCTCCTCCCCCTCAGACAGGGCAGTCAAGGAGCTACCCTGGGTGTGGGGCCAGGGGCCACCAAGAAGCGGGCCTGCGTTCTGGTCACGGCCTTGGATATCGGCCCGTGTGTACCCATCTGCAAAACCTGCCGCGCCCCCACTTCCGGGCTGAGGTGTGAATGGCAGATGGCTCCTACGGGCTGCTGTCTTCCACACCACAGCACAGAGTGGTGGGAAGCCACAGTACAGAGTGGGGACCAGGGCCCCGGGCGCCACAGGAAGTCTGTCTTAGGCAAGGGGTGGCTTTGAGGGCCTCTGGGCCACAGTGGAAAAGTCCTACTGGGTGATAAGGCCGGTGGGCGCTTGCCCAACTCCTGCTGCTGCAGTGGGCACGGCAGGCCCGGGGACTTCCCCCGAGCCTGGCAGGGCTGAGTCATGCTGGGTGGCCAATGGCTGGAAAATTCCGGGTCGGGGGACCTGTGTTTCATCTTCTGGGCCTTATGACGGCTCAGCTCACCTGGCCTCCTGCTTCCCCTAACTCAGCCTGAGTCACAGTGAAACCACAAAGAGGCACAGGCCTGCGCAGGCCACAAGGACAGCAGGGGGCCAGGTCTCACGACAGAGGCCTCCTCGAGCCCTCGGCCAGCCGGAATGTGGTTCTGAAACCCAGCCGTGGGGAAATCTGCCCAGAGTTGTCCTCAAAGTCCTTAGGAAGAGCTGGACATGCTGTATCCCCTTCGAGGCCAAGGACAGTGGCTGCCCATGGCTGGGGCGGGGCCAAGCCAGTGCGTCAGGCTCACCACATCCTTTGCCAGCTGGTTCTTTGGGAAATGTGTCAGCACACAGGCACAGGGCGCAGGGCCCGGGAGTGTGCAGGCACCACCAGCATCCTTGGGGCTCGTGGGGAGCCTGGCCTCAGCCGCTCAGAGGCTCAGGCACAAATCCCAGGTTCACCCCCAGCTTGGGTGCCGCCCAGCTCTGCAGCCTATGCCCCCTTCCCAATGCCTCTCCATGCCTGGCCGCTGTCCTCCCCAGGGTCTGTCAGCCTGCCGCATGGAGCCATTGAATCCCTGACCCAACGCTGCTTCTCCCAGTGTCATTTTTAATTCGCCACCCAGATTTTCTCGCTGAGGAAACTGGGCCTGTCCAGTGCCCACGTCCCGCAGATGTCCCTCCCGCCAAGGCAGGGCCAGGCCCCAGGAGCTGGATCCTGCCAGATCAGAGACATCGGTAGGCTGCTTTATTGCTTTCTTTTGGTTTGTGAACAGCGTGTTTTAATACGTGAGGCTCAGCACCCTGTAGCCCACTCACAGAGCTGTGTAACTGTCACCACTGTCCACTGCAGAACCCCAGAGAAGAAGCAGTCACCCTGCTCCTTCTCAAAGAGGTGCCTGTTTCTGTAGATGCTGTGGCCCAGAAACCCGGCTGAATCCAGATCCACAGCCACAGAATGCTTCGAGCAGTTTTCCAGGACTTCTTGGACGAAGGTGCCCGGCCTGTCGCTGGTTGGTGGGCTGGAAAACTGATGCTTTGGGGTGTATTTTTAAAAATCTTTCTAATGCAAATGAGTCTGGCACATAATGAACCCAAGCAGACCTCCTAGCAGCAGGGTGACTGGACCTGCCCTCCTGGTTCAGAACTTCCAGACATCCTGGTCGTGCTGGAGTCGGCCAAGCCTAATTTAACAACATGAAATCTAATGATGCAGCACACGCTTCTCTCCCCAGGATGCTGGATGCTCGCCTTCAGGCCCCGCCTCTGGGAGATGGTGGATGGCAAGGCTGGGCGTGCCATAACACAAGGTGGGGACACAGCAGAGAGCAGTTTCTCCGTAGGTGACATCTGAGGATCCACACTGCTCCCTCCTCCAAGGTGACAGGTGCAGATGCTGACGTCTGGGATGGCTGAGTTAGATCAGGGCCTGTCCACGATGTAGGTGAGTGTGAGCCACCACGAGAGGCCACAGCAGGGAGGGGGCGCCTGGGTTCTAACTCCTTGGAGAAGCCCCGGCCGGGAGGCTGCGTCCTGCTCAGCCTGGCCTTTTCCTTTGGAGCATTCCCAAGGTCGCTCTGTGGTCAGCCTGACTGCCCAAGGCCAAGGCCCCTAGAGGCAAACCTCTGCGCCCCAGCCTCAGTGCAGCCGATGAGAAATAGTGTGTTCAGGCCAGGAGTTGGGGTACTGGGGATTCTGGGGTGGCATGTGATCCAAGGGTTCCCCTGGTAAGTAGAGGGATTCCCTGAGGGTATGTGGGGGGTGCGTTCCAATGCAGGTGTTTACTTCAGAGCTGCAGGACCAGGGAATAGAGGTGCTGGGGCATCTTGAAAGCCCTGCCCCTGTGGCCACTCTCTCCGGTGTGCTCTGCAGCCTGGGCCGTGTCTCCAGATGGTGGCCTGGGGGTGACCTTTGTAGCTGGGGCCACTTGGACCCATGTCTTATGCATCCTGGAATCTTGAGAGCAGGGAGGACCCCCACTCAGCCCTGTGTAACCCCCAGGCGCATGGGCAGTGGGGTTATATAGGTGCTACTCATGGAACGACCCAGGGCACTGTGCTAACTGCTGATGGCCGTGGGCCTGGCCTCTCGTCAGCGCCTCAGGTACACAAGGGAATCGCCTGCTTGCCCCCCTCACCAACCCCAGTCTGGCCTGTGTGCCAGATGCTCCCAGCCCTTGCCAAGTTTCTCTGCTTCTCGAGCCCTCAGTTTCCCCAGTGCAAAATGAGTTTCTTTGATCCTTCCAAAGTTTTAAAGTTCCTTGTAACCAGGTGGCACAGACAGTCCAAAGGCCTGGTCCTTGTGTGGGTGTCACTCCCCTTCCTGCTGGTGCTGGGGCCTATGAAGTCCCTGTCCCCCCTCTCTGGCCTCCAGCACAGTGCCTCGTGGGACCAGGTTCTGGAGGTGCTGCTCTGTGAATCCCTGTCCCATCTCCCTATGCACTACCTCTGTGGGCCAGGAGAGGGCAGCCGTGCTCCAACTGAGCCCAAGCACCTGGCAGGAGGGAGGAAGGTGGTGCCAGCCTCATGGGGCACCTGCCAGGAGCCTTCCTAGGGCCCCCCTGAAACCAGCCTTTCTTAGGAACAGTGAGAGATCTCAGGTTAACTCTTGGGGTTCTCTGGGTACCATAAGCAGGGAAAGCAGCAAGGACGACACATTAGGGATCCCAGAGTGTCAAGGCAGAGGGAAGCCCCACCTCTGCCTCTGCCTGCACAGGCGGGAGGCGGCCACAGCTCGCTGCGGACTGAGCCCTGTAACAGAGAGCCGAAGGGAACCTTCTCTCCTTAAGTTATGGTTCTCCTGTGCTTTGTCACAGCAGTGAAAAGCGAACATATCCCTGCTCATAGGAGCGTTATTGGCTGTTGCCGAGAGGCAGAAGTGACTCAAGGGACTTGGCTGAAGCCTGGGGACACCATCATGGTTCAGAGCAGGTGACACCAATGCCAAATGAGAGCGCCTGGCTCTACAGCCCAGCTCTCCTGCTTACCAGGAGTGGACTCAGCCCCAAATTGCTCAGCTGGCCGCGCCTCGGTCATCCCAGCTGTCTGCTGGGGGAGAAATAGTGCATGTTCACAGGCTTGATGTGAAGTCAGATAACACACACACACGATGCCACGCTCGGCACCTGGGCTCTAGAGTTCAGGGACGCCCCAAGCTGACCCCAGCGCAGCCGCTTTCAGAGGTGTGGCCTTCACTTGTTCTCTGTCACTGTTGGGGAACCGTTACCATATCTTATTATGGTAAGATGCACACGGAAAATTACCTTTCTATCCATCGTTCATTGGATAGCACAGCCTTGGTCACACACAATTCTCCCTACAGCTCTGGGTGAGAAACCAGTCAGATTCAGTGCTTGGATTCAGGATGGGGAAATTCGATGCCATGCACTTCAGCATCGTGAAGCACTGATGCCGTCCCCTCTGGGACTGCCTTCAACCCGGAAACGAGGCTCGGTCCCCACTGACGCCGAGCCCTCCCTCCCCAGCAGGCAGCTCCAGCTCCAGTCTCCTGGGACAGGATTGTTGTATTAACATTACTCAGCACGATGTCCTCAAGGCCACCATGCCACCTTCCTTTCTAAGATGTCTGTTCCCCTGTGTGGGCCACATTTTGTCTGTCCATTCATCCACTGATGGACAAGTGGGCTGCTTCCGCCCGTTGGCTACTGAATGATGTGCTATAAACATGGTATGTGGTCTCCTGGAGACCCCCCTCGTTCTTTTCTGTATGCTCCAAGTGTCCAGCAGTGAGACTACCAGGCGAAACACATGATTCCATGTTGAATTTTTCAAGCACCTGCTGTGCTGTCCCAGCTTCTTTCTGGGCTCTTAAAGGCAGAATTTTCGGAGTGCATGCGGCCTGTCTGTCCTCTCTCACACTGTGCTGGATTTGCCAGATTCATCCAGGTCACTGACTACAGTGGGGGCTGCTCACGGCACGCAGTGTCGAATGCCAGGTACACGTGGTGTGCACAATTCGTTTATCCACGGAGCTGCTTCCGGCGTGGGAAGGAGACGGTGCCACTGCCGGGCACACCCACGTGTGAGCAGCAAGTGGGTGGTGCCTGCTCTTCCACCAGGCCGTGAGCAGCAGAGTGGTGGATTGGAGCTCGCTCGGCCTGACCAGATCCCGTCCCCCTCGGAGCAAACACCCCTTGAAGAGGAGGTGCCGCACCTGAGTACACACGGGAAGAGTCCCAAGGCTGGGAAGTGCATGTGCTCTTCCCGGCCGAGCAGCAGCTCTAGGAGTAAACTCCACTCGCCCAGCTTGACAGGAGGTAGGACAGTGCCAGTCTCCCCGTGCAAGACGCGGCTTTCATTTGCTTCCGGAAGCGGGGCCCACAGAGGCTGCCCACACTCACCCCTGTCTCTGTGATTTCATTACCATTTGGAAATTTAGCCTCCAGGGGAGGGCAGAGGTGGTGGCCGTGCTGCACCTGCGCTCTCTGCTGCTCCCCTGGGCCTGGTGAGCTGTGCTGGCCACCGAGGGGACAGCACAGGTTGTCCCTGGCCTCCATGTGCCCCTGATTCGTGTGCATCGAGAGCCTCTGCATGGTGACTGGGATGAGGTGGCTGAAGGTGAGTCACAGGGGCAAACCCAGAGAGACCGTGGTGAACGTGGTGACCGCAGAGTGGCTGGCTCCTCCATCACTTCTGATGGCAGCGAGGAAGGCCATGCGGTCCCTCAGTCCAACAAGAGGACGGCGCACACTCAGCTTCCTCTTTGTCCAGCTGTTCACCCCTTGCTGACAGCATAGTATGCACGGGATAGCATGGCTTTTACGATTCTTTTATTTCACTCAGCAGTAGGTTTTACATAACACTCCACATCAGTCAGTACCCCTCTGTGACGTTTCCAGTGTGCTTATTCCTTCCTGTAGTGACCTCCTTCATGTAGTGACCCTGGGTACAGTTTCCAGCTCTCGGTACTGTGTCTAACGGCCAGCCTCACGGTCAAGCCTGGGCGCTTATTTCTGCAGGAGACAGTTCTGTGTGTTTAGGGGCATTTTGGAACATTGTGCCGAAGTGCGCCCCCTCGGCCCTCTCTGCATTCCTAGAGAAGATGAGCTCACTTACATCTCTCGCATCTCTCTTCTTGGTTGCTGTTGGATTTTGGGGGACGCTGGGGAGGGAATCTTGCCAGAATTGGTTTTACAGCTTAGAGTGGCATTTGCCAGTCTGACAGAAGATAAATCAGACTTTCATCACGTGCCTTTGAACAGCCAAAGTCCAGCATCTGTCTTACGCTCATCTTCACTGGCTGTAGGGCCGTTTGCAAAAGTGCCCATCGAGGTTTCTGCCCATGTTTCCCGGGTGGGTCTGCCTTTTCCTTTTTTAAATATTACTTTATGAGAAAACTATTGACCCCACCTGCGATGCATTGAAAACGCTTCTTCCAGTTTGGCATTTGTTTTTCGTTTCCGTTTATGGTATCCTTAACTACACGGATGTTTTTAATTCTCACTCAATGTGTCCATGTTTTCCTTTCTGGGGTTTGGAAAGGCCTTGCGCACCCCAGAGTCTGAGGGGCTCCATCTCTCTTCCTGGGACCCACGTATTGGTGGCTCTGGGTCTGTAGACACACTGTCGTCACCTCAGGCAGCTCGTTTGAATGATTTGCTGGTGAGAAGTGACAGAAGATGAAGCATAACTTTTTGGTTTTAAAATGGATAGAAGCTGGTATTCCTACAGATTCCCTGCAGACGTCCAGCAAGCACCCAGTAGAACCCGCCAGTGGAGCTGGGGAGAATTAAGTCACCTTTCATGTACTCGCCACAACCCCTAGGTGAGGCCAGTCCAGGGTCACTGTGGCTCCCTGACCTCTTGAGGTCTCTCTGAGCAGCCGCTGAGCGGCAAGGGATGAGAAGCAGAGGGCCATGTCCCCTAACACTGGCAGGGGTGGCGTGGCAGCCCCGAGGGAGAGGCCCACGGCTCACTTGCCGGTGTCACTTCTGCAGCCAGCAGAAGAGGGCTGGCGGGGGGCAGTGTCCCCGGGAGGGTCTCCGGAGGCCAGGCTGTCAGGGGGAGCGCCTCTCTTCACGTCTGCTAAGGCAACAGAGAAAAGATCTGACTTGCAGAGTTTCATAAATCACAAGTATTTTAGCTGGGAGGGCTGAAGATTGATAAGGGTGGGCCATCAGGCCCCGGTGGAGGAGCGGTCTCTGCGCGCCCTCTCTTTCCCAGACCTGAGTGTCAGCAGTTTTCCGGGAAAGCAATCTTTTTCTGTTGAGCATCATGGAGGCCGATTACCGTAACAAGGCTACCGGCTGTGCTGCTGGTAGCTGGGCACCAGAAGGAGGTGGCTGCGGCCGGCATGGGGCAGCCTGAGCGTGGCCTGCCTGGGAACTCTGTGCCTGCCCTATTGCAGTCCCTGGGGAGGAGTCGGGCCCCCATCCTTCTGCAGCCTCTCTGCTGGAAGCCCCATGACACTCTGATTTTCGGGGCACAGTGGCTCCCATGGCCTTCCACAGGGCTCCGACATCTGCCACTCCTGGAAAAGCAGTGCTTTCTCCATACAAATGCTGCCTGATTCCCCAGAGTAGCTTCACCTGGGAGACTCCCCTAAATAAAAGATTTTGAGGGTGTTTTCCTCTGAACCTACGGAGAATGGAAATGCAGTTCTGGCTGAGCTCCTGGCCCCAGCTTGACACACCACAGAGGCCATGCTGTGTCCCTCACATTGTGAGGAACTCAGGGGACGAGAGCCTCTTCCTTTGTCCCTGGCTTATGCTTGGCCAGTGGGCCTTGCGGTCGTGACATTGGCAAAGGCTGGAATCACGCACAGGCAGTGCTGCTGTCATCCCCATGGGAAGAGCCAGGCTGGTGTGGGGGGGACCTGGGGTCTGCAGCTCCCAGGAGGCTCAGAACGCCTCAGCACCATGGAACCCCACCTGCACAGCAAGCCGCCCAAGCCCGGCCAACACAGAGTAACAAAGCTGCGCTGCTATGGGCTATGCGGTGGGGATGCCACTGGGCTGACGTGAGTGACAGCTCCGTGCCCTTCCTGCCATTTATGGCGCAGTATCTTGGTGCCCTGGGCTCGCCCCTCCCTATTACCTGCCCTGGTCTGAGGTAGCACCTTTCACCACAGTAAAACCACAGAAGTTCTGAGCTCCTGCCTCCTGCCTGCCCGGCCTCCTGTCCACCCTCTGCGTCCTCACAGCAAATCTCACTGGAAGCCGTAAGAGCCCCCAGCAGTGAGAAACTCCTCCAGTGCTTCGACCTCACCAGTTCCCGGGCCTCCTGCCTCCCTCCTTGGTCACTCGCTGGGCAGCGCTCGGTCACTGCAGGCATGCCTGTGGCATTAGTGAGTGACCACTGGCGTGAAGGGGGCCGTTCCCACTGGGGCCCTGAGCAAGGACCCTGGCTCTGTTGCTCCTCGTGGTGTGCACACACCCAGCTGGGCCTGGCTCAGAGCTGCCCCTCGATGGAGACCTGCTGAGCCCACAGTAGCCTGGGAGGTCAACGAAGGATGAGGGGAGGGTGCTGCAGCTTCCACCTGGGTGGGTGCCGGAGCGATGGGACAGAGCCCAGGCAGTCTCTCTGATACCAGTCTGGGGTTGCTGCTCACCATGGGGGAGAGCCACCACTCCGAGGGCCTGGGGTCAGAGCCTCAGTCTGCCTCCATCAGGGGTTCTGATGATCCTGGGGTCTGTGGGATGCAACAGCCTCACCCCATAATGAGGCTGCAGCAAGGCTAGTGGCCCCTCAGGGTTCAGCCACAGCAGGGCCCCTGAACCCTATTGCATCCCCTGCCACGGAGCGCTGAGGAGGTGCTAGGGAGGCCCAGGATGGAGCTCCCAAGGGCCTCACTGGACCCTGTCACAGGCTTGACCCCGATGTGGTCATCAGTGGTGCAGCCCTCACAGCCCTGGTGCCCCTGCAGGTCCCATCCAGGATGAGGCCCACACTGACTATACTCAAAACCCCTCCCAGCCCTGGACGGTGGCCATGGGACTCGGAGCTCAGTGGAAAAGACAGAGCTGTTCCCTGCTCCAGCCCTTCCGGGTAAGACTCCGGTACCTCCAGAGCCACACACCCGCCTCCAGCCAATGGCGGTGGCCAGCCAGTGTAGTCTACACACGTGCTGGGATGGAGCAGGGCTAGGTCCCCAGGCAGAGTGAGACCCCCCACACCTGCCAAAGGCCCAGCAGATGCCATCGCCCTTGTGCACCTGGAGCTCTGGAAGCCTCTGGGGCCGGGGCGCAGGGGAGCTATCCCTGGGGTGTCTCTTCCAGGTTTACAAGTGGCTCTCTTAGCCCAGGCTCTGGGAGTCACACTCGAGAGACCCTGTGATTGTGCCCTGAAGTGATTTTCAGGCTAGAGGTAATAAAGTGAAGTGATTTTTACAACACAGTTTCTGCCACCTGGGTGTGCGATCAGGGGCCGTGTTTGGGGCCCGGTGACAGAGAGCACATTAAGAGTTTAATTTGCAATATGGGCAGGGATCATTCTAGAGCTCACTATATGGAGGCCGATTCTAATCCATCAGCCGCTGTATTAGGAGGTGACAGCCTGCTGGCTCCCTTGAACACTGCTTAAGGAGGAAACCAAATTACCTCACATTAGTGTGGGCAGTGATGGACAGAGGGGGCCCTTGTTGCCTTCAGCTCTTGAGCAGGCAGTGGCCAGGATCTGACTGGGGCACAGCTCGGAGGATCGCAGTGGTGACGGAGGCTGCCAGGCCAGGACCCTCTCTGAGCCATGGGTCCTGCATGCCGGAGACGCACTCCGCTCACAGGGACCCTTAACACTCAAAGCTGTGGTGAGCGTTCCCCACTCCCCAGTCCATCCTCGGCGAGCAGTCTTGTGGGGGGCTGTCCCTCGGGTGTGAGTCTCCTGGGAGCACCCCAGACAGCAAGATGCTGTGTGTGTGGTCCACCCTGGCTGTGTGTATAAATGGAGGTGCCCAGCCTGAGCCCTACACCCTTGTGGCCAAGGAGGCGGCAAGTGGTCGCGCTGGGCTGCTGCCAGCCGGGTGAGTAAAGTGCTAATGAAATAACACCAGTAAAAAACGGGCTCGCCGTCACAGCCAGAGTGCTTTGCTGGCCCTCAGCCCAGCGCTTCCCAGCGCAGGGTCAGGTGCCGCGGCAGGATCCACAGCGTGGCCACCGCCTTGCAGGCATGGGTGCCTGAGCCCGCAGCTGCCTGCGCATCCTGCCCTCCCTGAGCCTCCCCGCCGGATTCTCAGTGGCAGTCGGTGCCTCGGCCTGGGCCTTCCATCTTAGGCCCTGGCCCAGCCCAGCAGCCTCCTCCTTTGCCTTGGAATCTCGGGTGAGGTCCTCCAGTTGCCTAAAAGCCAAGTGGGCCAGCACTCTGTCTAAGAGAGGTGTCTGTGGGAGCGCTGACCGCGGGCCCATACTGCACTTTTGCTCCATAAGCCATTTATCACAGGAGGAAACCGAGGAGGAACCTTCCAGACCGGGGGCTTTCTCACAGCTCCCAAGAGCGACAAAGTTTACATCTCCTTGGGACGCTCAGGCGTCCCAGGTGACCATTTCCAGGTGACCTCCATTTCCAGGTGACCAGAGCCATCCGGAGTGGCCAGCAGCAGGAGAGTCATCAGCCGTGCAGCAGATGCTGAGGAGCGGAGCCTGCAGCTGCAAGCGGGCTCCAGCCTGGTGGAGCAGGTGAGGTCTGCAGGTCCTGGCAGCCTGGGCCTCGGGAGGGCTGTGGGCCTTGGCTGCCACACACAAGCAAACGTCGCTTTTCTAAGACACCTTGCGAGCCTCCAGCTCCAGATTCTGTTCCGTAGAGAAGCTCTCTGTGCCTGTGCCTGGCCCAGAGACGTGGCTATGAAAAGTGTGGCTCCACCCATCTCGGGCACTGTGAGACGCCAGTGCATAGGAGCAGCCTCAGGACAGCCCCTGTGGTGGACCCAGCTGAGGGTCCAGGAGGAGCCCCAGATGCTCAGGGCTCCGGCTCCAGATTTTCCCAGGTGAGGCCCCAGATCCTGGGAAGCAGAAGGGTCCATCCCTGCACAGCCGTCCATATCCTGACCACGGGCCATGAGCAGCAAGGGGCTGTCTTCACCCATTCATGGGCACACAATCAGGGGCTGGGGTTATTCATTCCTGTGTTGTAATCCTGGGAATTTCTGAGAAATTGCCTTCTCCCCTTACCCTATAGGAACATGAACCTAAAGTAAAATCCACCAGCTCCTGTCTGGGAGAGAAATTGACCCTGGCAGGGAAGAACTTGCTAGGAAATTCACTATCAGGCCCAGGGCAAATCCATCTCACCAATGGGCCAGCATGGGGCCAGGGCCTGGTGTGCCCTCAGCTCGCAGGGCAGGCCATGTGCAGGTCAGGGGCACACACGGGCTTCCCAGACCTTGGGCAGAGCTGCCAAGCTCCAAGCTCCCGTGTCCACATCGGGCATTGGAGCAGCTCCCTGGCATGGACAGACGTGGGCCCATTTCCATGGGTGAGACTCCAGATGCTGGGAAGCAGAAGGGTCCATCCCTGCACAGCCATCCACATCCTGACCACGGGCCGTGAGCAGCAAGGGGCTGTCTTCCAGCTCGGGTCTGGGCTGCCTGGGCCTGGGCTGCCTGGGCTGCCTGGGCTTTCCGTGGGTAGGGAGGTTACCAACAGAGCCATTAGGTGGGAGCTGGCGGGGCCGAGGCTCTGCCCCTGTGAGGCTCCTGCCACCCAAGGGCTCCAGCCGGGGGACATCGATTGTTCGCTGAGCTCTTCAGGGTAACAAACCCGAGTCCTTTCTGACTTTGTCTTTCTCCCTAAAGCAAGAGGCTCTGGGTCTGGGCAGACACAGGGCGGCTCCCATAGAGGATGTGACTGGGACCCTCCAGCTCCTGCCGGCAGAGCCTGTGGGGGTCACACAGGGAGGGGAGCTGTCTGGCAAGCAGTTAGGGTAAGGCCAGGTGGCACACTGGCTGCTGCTTGGTCCAGTCTCCTTTCCAGGGCATCCCTCACCCCCTGAGGAGACAGCAGGCTTAGAGCTAGTTCAGAGGGTACATGGGGACCTGCGGCCACTGCAGCTCCCCTCTCAGCCCAGCACTGCAGCCAGGTACAGCCACTAGA